CCTGCCAGCAGTGGGGTCCCGGTGCTGCACCCAGCCCTTGCTGTGCCCCTCCTTGCCGTCCGGTAAGGGTGTGAGGGAGCCGCTCTTGGTTCCCAGCCTGCTGTCCCTAATGACCTGCATGACCGCATCATCCGTGCGGTTACTGGGCGCCTGTACATCTTCACCGGGGAGGCGTTTTGCCCCCTTGTGAACTGGGCTCTTTCTTTCCTAGTTGTTGAGTTGTTGGGCTCATTTATAAATACTGATGTGAGTCCTTCAAAGACTCATGACTTAACTCACAAATCCTTCTCCCCCTTTGCGTCCTACATCCTTGTAGTGTTGTGGCCACAGCCTGCGTTGGGCTGTAGCAGCACATCCCCAGGGACACGCTGAGGACCTGTCGGGAGCAGGAGCGCAGGCGAGGCGGCCGCCCACTGCTCTGACCCTGGCTGGTTAGTAGCAGTAAGAAGCACGTGTGGAGGATGACAGGAGCAGGAGTAGCTGGGTCAGGGGAGACAGGTAATCGAATACTCACAATTATTCTAGGAGGTTGTAAATGCTACTCCTATGATGTCATAAAGCCTGGCTATTGCCCATTGACCAGTGCCAGAGGGCACAGCGGGGTTTTGTATGATCTGGGCATGTAACCAGAAGTCTGTAGTCCAGGCCACCTGTCCCCATCAAATGCCATCAAGTAGAGAGACGAATGAAATATTTAAGGGGTGCTTTAACCAGATTTCCTAAAGAAACCCTACACGCTTCACTTCCAGCTCGCTCTTCATACTGAGTTGAATGACAGTGGGCAGAGAGCAACCTCCCTGCTGCTGGGAGACTGTGGTGTCCAGTCCTGGGGCTCCTTGTCGCCCTCCTGGACGCCTGCCCCAGGCCCGTCCCCGTGCTGAGGCTGCTCTCAGACAGCACTGCTCCCGGCAGCCTCCAGACGTGCCTCTGGGCTGGAAAATGAGTTCAGAGCAGGGCCAGAGACAGTCTGTGTGCAGCTTTCCCACTGTGCCAGCTTAGGTCTCACGGAGCTCCTCGCCCTCCAAGGCCTGATTAGGTCACGGGAAAAGGAGGCGTCCTGGAGGCTTCAGAGGCTTCTTTAGGCTTCTAATGATCTTTCTACACCATAGAGTGAGGCAGCATCTGGAGGGCAGCGAACCCACAGCCCCAGGCAAATTTGCCTCAGTCTGGGCTCCAGCACCCTCTGTTGTCTCTGCCACAATCTGCCCTGCGGCCTCTGGCCCCTTGTGGTCCCCAGTCTCTGCTGCTGGCGTCAGGGGACCCTGCTCTCAGATGCTCCCTCTCTAGCCCAGGGGTGCTCAGGCACCCACACCACCCTGACTCCAGGCAGCCCTCAGGCTTTTGGGTAAGACCACAGGGGTTGCACACTGATGCTGATGCGGAGGGCAGACAACTCCCAGTCACCCTGCACTGAGCGACCACAGGGCAGACTACATGTGGAAGGAAACAGGACAATCCAACTGTAATGAGACAGAAAGGACACCTGCAAATATAAACTGCAAGGTCCACTTTCTCACTACTATTATTTTCAGAACATTGTTTTTCTTTAAAACAGTTCATATGCATTGAATTATTAATATTCTAATTAAAATTAAAAAACACTTTAAAATGATTTTATTCCTTGCATGGTAGAGACTGATAGTTACATCTGCATAAATTTATCCCTGGGGGCCTGTAGCGCCAGCAGACACTGGCGGGTTCTCTATGACCGGGCAGAGGAGTAAGGACAGTCCTGGGCCCTGGCTGGCTTTTTCAGCCTTTAATATCTTTCACCCCATCTGCAGTGAGGAGACCAGGTGCAGGGCATTCGGGGCGCATGGGGCACAGGAGGCTGGCAGGCCTCCACCCCTGGGAATGTTTGCTCTCTCTGGGCTCTCTGGCCTCTTCCTGGTCTCTTTGCTGCTCTCCACTGCAGTGTCCAGCAAAGGGGTCCTGGGCCCCCTTCCTTACATGCTCAGTCACTGGCTCAGGGGCACCCACACAGGACTGTCAGCACCACAACCCAGGTTCAGCCATCAGGCTGAGTGTAAGACCACAGGTGTGGCTCACAGGTACTAATGGGGGAGGGCAGAGAACCTGATGCTTCCTTTCACCAACGGGGGTCTTTGAACCTGTAAGTCAGTGCGTGCAGAGATCCTGAAACGAAAATGTTTAGGCATCAATGACCTGACCATACGCCCTGGACAGAGGTCTGGGTGCAGAGAGGAGGGGCACAGCGCCCCCCAGGTTCAGGGGTGTGACTCTCTGGGTTTGGGCCCCAGGGTTGTCTGGGGAGGGGAAGGTTACTGTGTGGCACCTGTGGGACGCCTAGACTCAGGGTCCTCCCCCAGTGTTTCTCACCCCAGTTTCACTTGCCACCTCCCAACCTGTGCGGTGTGCCCTTCCTGTATATTGGTGACTCACCCCATCTCTCAGTCCCCATTGCCTGGGGGTTTCCAGAGCAGCCAATGAGCTCAGCGGCTCTGAACAGTCCCCAGCCACTCACCTTTGGGTCCAGGAAACTCCAGGACTGGTCAGCTCAGGGGATGGGGCCCCCAACCCTCCTGCTGCTGCTCTTGGGGGCCCTCGCCCTTACCCAGACCTGGGCAGGTGAGTGCGGGCTTTGGAGGGAAACAGCAGCCCAAGAGGGAGGAGCTAGGGGGCCCCTGTAATGGCTCCTTTCTGCTGGTGCCAGCCCTGCTGTTCCCCTGATGGTCCTGTCCTGGCCTGCCCACTTTCGGTCCATCCCAGCCTCCCACCTCCTCTTGCCCCCAGAGTTTCAGCCCTTTATGGTGCCCACTACATTAATCCTGGAAGGCCACACACTTCTTTCCTAATGCCCCATTTTCCCGGTCCCGCGTGGTCCTGGGCAGGGAGGAGGGTCAGCCCAGTCTCACCCTTCCTGGGGGCCTCACCCCCAGGCCCCCACTCCCTGAGGTATTTGTACACCGAGATGTCCAGCCCCGGTGGCGGGGAACCCCGCTTCATCATCGTGGGCTACGTGGACGACATGGAGTTCGGGTCCTACGACAGCGACTCTTCTGGTCAGAGGATGGAGCCGCGGGCGCCCTGGGCAGAGCAGCTGGGGTCTGAGTTCTGGGAGCAGCAGACACGGGCCCTGAGGGTCGCTGCACCGGCTTTCCGACAGAAACTGCTAGAACTGCGCCAGGACTACAACCACAGCAGGGCAGGTGAGCAGCCGGGCGCGACCCCTCACCCCCATACCTAGGGACTGTCAGAGTGGACAGGAGGAGAACCCCAAACTTGGCGTGTGAGCCCTAAACCTCCATCAGGTAGATGCCGGCGGGCCTCAGTGCCCTGTGGTTTCAGTGTCAGTGTCAGCTCTGGGTTATTCCAGGCGGGAGGGCGTGGCCGGGTTACCGCTGGGCTGACACAGGGTGGGTTCAGTGTCTCACACCCTCCAGGAGATGTCTGGCTGCCAGGTGGGGCCCGACCTGAACCTCCTCCACGGGTACTGTCAGTTCGCCTATGATGGCGCCGATTACATCGCCCTGAACCCGGACCAGCGCTCCTGGACCCCCGCGGACCCTGTTGCTCAGATCACCCAGCGCCAGTGGGAGAAGGAAATTCGCACTGAGCGCTTCAGGAACTACCTGGAGAGGGACTGTGTGGACTGGCTGCGCAGACTCCTGGAGACCGGGAGGGAGACCCTGCAGCGCGCAGGTGAGAGGGGCCTGCCGGCTTCAAGGGTTCAGATCTCCCTCAGGCTGACGCCTCCGGACATGGAGTAACTGTCAGGACACAGACCTCCTGGTCAGAGAGGGAGGAGACCGCCTGGGTTTCTGTTCTGTGCTGGACAGAGACTCCCCCAGAGAACCCTACTTTTCCTGAAGGAAATTGAAGGGGTTCAGTCTCCTAAAATGGTGGGAGGCCCTCCTGAAATTGCCCTTCACAAAACCCCTTTGTCCCGGCAGCCACCTTGGGAGTCCTCAGTTTCTCACCATATCTTGGTTTTGGTCTGACTAACATTTTTCAGATCTGACTCCTGCTTTTATGAGTCCCCAGGTTAGTGTCACAAGTTTGTGTTTTCCTCCTTAGAAGCCATCAAATTCCTTTTCTGAGCTCTTACCCTGACTCTAGGACATGCTAAGATTTTCCCCGACCCCCAGATCAGGAGGTTTTGTGCTTCCTCTTCCAAGCCCATTGCCCTGTCCATTCTCAGGGTGGTCACATAAGGCTCTTTAGTCTCTGGGATGGAGAAACCCAACATAGGGGCCTCCCTGGTGTGCAAAAGGGTTAAAGGGCAGCACTAGGAAGCTTCCACAGACACTGCAGCTCTAGTCCATCTCTGGCCGGGGAGGTGGTCC